TAAATAAGGCAATTCATTTGGGAGAAATAAAAAAGACAACAAATCAGTCTGTCAAAGGGGCTGTAGCGAAGAGTGGGAACAGCTTTATACAGTGTCTGTCTAGTTGGTAACGTCATTTATGATATACATAACGATCTATGTGAACTTTTTATTGCTTTCCAAGCACATTTTCCACAGCTGGCAAGTGTGTTTGCTTATGTATCCCTAAATCATTCTGCAAATACTGCTCTCAAGCTGCCTGTGTGTCAGAATTATAAATGCACACTATTATAAGTTTAATTGTAAAATTATCCATAAGAGCATGAAGTTATCTGTCTAGCTTTGTTACTTATTTTTTGACAGTGATATATGTGTGGATAATTTTCTTTCCTTGGTACTGCTTCAATTTTTATTTTTTTTATTTTTAGGCAGAGCGAATTGCCAGAGTGCCATCTACTGCATCCTACTGGCCAGATACAACTACACCAAGTTTGAGGGTCTTGCTGGCTTCAGTTGGTTGAAGTACCTCATGCTCCTTTCCTGTCTTAGAAAATTCTGTTTTCTGTAAATTAATGCAAGTTTAGAGGAGGGATTTGAACCAGGCTGCGTATGATTCAGGAACTGCATTACCAATAAGGGTAAAGGCTGGTCAGGGTGCTCCTCTCTCTTTCTCTCCTTTTTTGTAGATCCCTCCCTCTGGGTTTCTCAGTTTCCTTCTCTGTCTCTGAGTTTGTCTAGCTATCATAACATACCTCACTTTCTCACTTCACTTCCCCAAATTTAAATGACTTTCCTTTTCTTGGACTTGGTTTATTTCCTATATCAGAATTATACATTTGGAAGTCTTTCTTAATTTTTTAAAAAGACTAATTTTTTATCGTGATAAGACCTCTCTTAAAAATATATTTCACCAGGTGAAAAAGGCTTCAAAATTTCAAGCCTATTATTAGGAAAAGGCTATTAAATTATGATAAAAAATTCTTAACTGTAGGGTTTTATTTTAGTTAAAACAAATAAATGGGTTCTTCAGATCCAAGATTTTGTGCCCCCTGTTTAGGGGAGACAGGGTTCAGTATCTTTGAGCCTAAGATTTTTTGCTGGTCCAAGGAAAAAGATAATATTCTCAAATTCGATTAATATAAATGTGCATAGTCTAACAAATCTCCTAATTTGTCTCTAACAGATCTCTTAAGTGGTCCTCAGAAAATAATATGAAAGCAGTGATGGCACTTTAATATAAAGCAACTGTTTTGAATGGCAAATATCAAATACTGCTGAACTGAGATCAGCGTGTTAGTCATGTTCTTTCCCATTAATTCATTTGCATTTAATGTTACAGCTCTCCCATAAGGAGTGGAAGGATGCCAGATTCCTGCTTTTTAGTGCTATGTAAGTGTGGGACCAGAGCCTTTGCTGGTATGGGGCTATTCTGTCAATGCCACAGCTGCAGTCTGACACTAAAAGAAGCAAAAGTGCCTCAGAAATGGCTTCCTTATTAAAGGTGGATGTTAGTTTAGTTTTTGCGGAGTTAGTATTGATTTTTGCATCACACTGGCACTCCTACCTCCTGTTAGCATGGTGGGAAGTGGAACAGGAACAGCAAAATGTGGAAATAACAGACATATCCTTCAGATATGGCAATGCTTGGTTGGACTTTTGCCCCCCGTTCCTGAAGGCTCACCAGTTGCTTCATGGCAGCCTAACGTAATTCATACAATTGGATTTTCTGGACACTTGAGGGATATGCATCAGTATCAGGAAATCCACAGGAGTAATCTTTGCACGAATGTTATCCTTGGAACCCAAAGGGATTTTTTTGAATGTCATTGTAAATAAATACAGAAAATTGCATATTGGAAGGATCCATAACAAACATTTTATAAAGCAGTTTTTGAGGTTTTGCTGGTGCTATATGAAGTAGGCAGCTTCACTTCACATCTTCTCGAAATTACCTTATTGAAGATTCTTCTCTCAAAGTAATCTTCATAGTAGAATGAATGTGAATAGTCAAGGTGTAGTGATACTTCCTAGGCTAATATTTGGTATCTGCCTTGGTAAAGACATACCTATTTCTTTTTGTATCTCAGCAAGATATGGTGATGCTTCTAAGGGGAGTTAAGGGGTCCTTGATTTAATATTTCTGCTGAAATTTAGTTTGGTAAATTATTTAAATTTAATTTAATAAAATACATTATTCTTCATTTCCTGTCCTAACATGCAATCCAGAGTTCACATGACACTGTGTAAACAGTGGTGTTTCACTCCATATGTAGATGAGTTTTTGAAGCCCTTAAGGTGGAAACTATTATATGTGTATAAAATTATATCACCTGCTCAGTAAAACTTTAAACATAATAATGTCAATAATTAATACAAATAATAGCTAATGTTTATACTTCGTATTTTCCACTGTGTTACTTCTCATTAAAGGTATAAATGTTGTCAGAGTGGGCAAACTCTGAAAGTAAAGACAGAATTTTTTTCACTCGTCAAGCTTGAGAGTATCTTTTCTGATGAATAATGTAAGCTAATGATGTCAATCTGTTTTTGACCCATGAGCAACTATACTAAATGATGATATTGCTATAGCTGAGGTCACAGTTTCTTAGCTTCAGCTTTATTGTTTTTGTATCCCGTGACTTTGACTGATGTTGGCAGCTGTGATGGGTAGTGTGCTGGTTGCTCTCCAGGGTTGGAGATTGCTGCTATAAGCAAGTTCTTTTGCTGCTCTCACTATACATTGGGTGTAAGAAGGAAATGTGAATATACGATGGCCGAAATTTGCTTACAGTGTTTTCTAGGGTGCAACTGGAAAATATTTGTAAATTAAAGGAGAGAAAATGTCTAGTTTTGGTAGAAAGTTGGCCTGATTGCACCTTCAACAAAAATAATCCAATGCATGTGACCAAAGCACAGAACAAGTGGCTACTTCCACACAAACATGTTTTAGAAATTGTGCTGGTAATTATGACATTAATCTTTCTGATGTTGTAGTTAAGCAGCATTATTTGATGCCCTCCCCTCATATCTCACACAGCTAGACAGCCAACCTGAACAGAACAAAATGGAGCAGCTTAAAATGGTAAATGTAGCTACTTATCCGGCGCCAGGGTAACACCTTAATCCTGGATGGTTTCAGTGGGTTTTCAAATCACTGCATCCAGTTAATACAGACTCTTCTAGCATTTTAACTTAAACTTTGCCAGCTGGAGCAGTCTGAGAGGTAGTCCGCTATGGTGAAGGCTGATAATGGCGGAGTGGAAGCTGTAGTCAGTATCAGAGATGCAAAGAGAGCCCAGAAAGCCGCGCGAGTGTGCAGGGATGAAGATGAGGAAAGGGAGGCAGGGAGGGTTAAACAACCAAGAGTGATGAGGCTTGAGACAACAAAGCTACATTTGATGCACTGCAGAAGTATACCGTCTTTTGATCTCACAGGTATTATCAGTGATATGTTTTTTATACTTCTACTACTTGACAATCATTTTTCTGGAAAACATGGTGTTCAATAACCCTGAAAATATCCACTGGTCTTTGGGATGTCAAGTTCATTTAGTTGCAATTCAGAAATTTCAAAATGGTTTCAGCTAACAAACAGCAATATCCTAATCATCTCACCTGAAGGTGATGCAGACGTTTGAAACCTCTGTGACTGCTGCACATATCAGAAACACTGAACATTTCATCTTGATTTCAGTACCACCTACTTCCTGGAAAATTTGGAAGCCTTGCATTTACCACTTCAAGTTCTCTGCCAAGTTCCTTTCAATTTTTTTTTTCTCCATTTTTGTCTCACACGTTTATTATACTGTGACAAATGCAGTTTTCTTCTGACACCACATAATAGATGTGTGAAACACACACATGTTCTAGTAAGAGACTGCTCTTTATTTCCTGGCTCCAGTTGCAAAACATGAGTCAGGGTTAGAAAGGCTGTACCTCTGTCAGAGATGGGTAATCTGCATCCTCAAACTTTCCTAGCTTTTGCTACAGTAGTGGGGAAAACAGGAAAATCTGGGTCTTCTATACCCATACTCAGTGTTTCTTCCTTCCCAAGGACATATTTTCTTCATTTTAAAACCACCATTCCCTTGTTTTAATTATATTTACTCCCTTCAGAGACTGAGGCTGTCATTAATGGTGAAAAAAAGTCCCTCCAGCTCCTAAAACAAGTATAGCAGCACTCTGACTGCAGGAGGTACAGCAGTTTTAGAGAAAGCATCCTCCTACTATCCTGGCTTTAATTCAAAGAAGAAGTATTACTAGTCCATTTGCTGTGAATTCCAAGCACTATTTTCTCCATGCCAAGCGATATCTGATGAATTGCTGTATAATTGTAGGCAATGACCGAACAGCTTCTTGACAAGACTGGTGACATAACATGCCTTATTTATATATACCAGTTTGAAGTGCTCTGTACACTTCTGCAATGTGTAGTGTGCCTCAGTGAAATACAAAATCAGACAGATCTTTTGTGAACTAAAGTGGAACAAGCCTCATGTTACAAGTTAAAACAAAAACAAGCAAACAAGCAAGCAAAAAGAGAAAACTGAACACATTATCACTTCCTACTGGATCCAAACAGGCTAGGAATTTCACATGTAAGGCGGTTATTCTGCGGTTACCCATGTGTGACTGGAAGCAGCAGGAACTCTGGTGCTTCTATGTTAACGATAAACAGAGTTTTGTATTGATTTTTTTTTTAAATCATTTTATCCCACAAGGTCCTAGTGGTTCGGTTGCTCCTGCAATAGAATGACAAATAACTGGGTGACATGCTGTGAAAAATTTAGAAAATGAGAAATGCTATCTCATTTTCCAAACAGAGCAGAAACAACACTAATTCCATTAGGCAAGATGGAACAGACAATTAAACTGGGCATGCTTGTAATTTTGAAGCTAACCAGATAGCCTTTTTCAAATGTAATGACTATTCAAGTGATTTCTTTAACGTGAAGCAAAACCACTGATTTTCCTTTCTAAAATTAAAGCATTTACCTTATACAAAGTATAAGAAATGTTACCTGTTGCCTCCACCATTCCTTCTAGGATTACAACAATTTCTAGCTCCTCTTTGGGCAACTGGGCTTTGGAAATCTCCCAGAAAGGACTCTGCTGGTTAATTTCATGGCTGATGATCAGTGGTGAAACCAAAAAGAGACGATCATCCCCTGTGTAATAACCTACGTTGATATCTGTCTGGTTGAGTGGTATAAATTCCCCCTCCTTTGTCTGTTTGGATTTGATCAACTTGGCTCGTATTGATGCCTCTACAATGTGTGAATTCCTAAGGTCTCCTACTCGGAACATCAGACACAGCTTTCCATCCCGCATGGAAATTACTGCATTTGTAGAAAAAACCAAGGTTTCTGCCCTCTTCTTGGGTTGGGATATTTTCACAAACATGCAGCCAACCATGAAAGCGTTGACGATAGAACCTAAAACAGACTGCACTAAAAGCAGTATAATTCCCTCGGGACACTTGTCCGTGATGACCCGGTAACCATACCCAATGGTGGTTTCTGTCTCGATTGAGAATAAAAAGGCTGAGACAAACCCATTGAGGTTGCTGACGCATGGGGTCCACGTGCTGTCCCCTATATGATCCATATCTCCTCGCATGTAGGCAATTAGCCACCAGATCATTCCAAAGAAGAGCCAGGTCACAGTGTAAACCATGACAAAAATCAATAGGTTGAACCTCCACTTGAGATCGACTAAGGTAGTGAAGATGTCAGTCAAGTAACGGTAAGTCTCTCTGACATTCCCGTGGTGGACGTTGCATTTCCCATCTTTCCTAACATACCTCTGGATTTTTCTCTTGGCACATTCTTTGTTTATATTTTTTGGTAGATCCTCTCTAGCTTGTTTGGGCAACTTTGGCTGATGAATAGTGACAGGGCTCTCTATGTCCTGCTCCATTGAGTCTTCTTCCAGTACGTTAACTGCCATTAAAAACAAACAAACAAGAAAAAGGCAGGAGTTATTTTTCTTATTATTTCTCTAAGTCAACACACAACTTCTTCTGTATTACTGGCACCAAATTGCTGTTAATCAACAAAATTATCATCCTTGTTCTTTGCTCACCTGTTAGACGCACAAGACAAAAGTCAGATGATGCCAAGCATCCTCAGTTTATTGCTAAATAGAAATACTTTGAAGGAAAACTGTCTCACTTCCTATCTATCAGGTCATCCTAGCCACACCCATATTTAAATTCTCTCAGATATGTTCAAGCAGATCTTTCTCCCCCCCCCCTTTACAGTTTAATAAATGAGGTTTTGTATACACCAAGAAAGATCTTCTGGGAGACAGCATATATACATGAGGAAATGGATTTGCTTGGGGTTTTTGGTTAACAAGATGAGCAGAGAAAATAAGCAATTGTTGAGCCATTTTTAAAATCAATTGCACTGGTATGGGAAAGTATTAAATAAGTATAAGGAGTTAAAAAAACCCCAATATTTTTTAGAAAGAACCAATCATACTCTTGCTGAAGGAAAGGCAGGCTTTAGTGTAACATATACGACGAGCTATTCAAGCACATTTCCATAGAAAACCAATGTCTTGCTGATACTGAGACAGGGAACTGTGTGTCCTTCTCCCAGTAAGATAAAACATACAGTACTTCAGAACATGATTTCATTTTAATGCAGTATGCCTATGGCCTTTAATTCAAGTGTGCCTTTTTCTCTAACTGTAAGGGCCTACACGGTGTTCCCCCATAAGTGTCTTACAAGAATTTAAAAACCAGAAATGACAGTAACTGCCTTCTTTTTTTTCTTCTCAGCCTTTTCAGATAAATAGCTTCATTATGTTTATGTACAAGTGCAAGAAAGAAGAGTTTATTGAGAAGGAGAGCGGTTTAATCAAATGGATTTTGCATGAAGCTGAGGACCTGGTGACATCTGTGGTAACTGTTGTCTTTTTACTGGAAATCTTTCTGCATTCAGGGCTTATTCCTGCAGGAATTTCAGCTCTTGAACTCTTCTCCATTCTGGCTAACTGCTACTATTCTGCTGCCAGGCTGTGAAGGGAAAAGGCTTCTGCTGGCTCTGCCTAGATGCTTGGCTCTGAATAAAGTAGCACTGGTATGAGGCTGTACCATTGGTTTGCAGAGATGCTCTGCCTGAACAGTCATGGCGTTGACCTGCGTGCAGTCAGTGCGCCCTGCAACAGCCACAGTTTGCATTAGTGTGTTGTGGTAACTGCTGTGCAGGCTCAGGTGTGGGCTGCCCAGTCCTGCTGTAGGTGGTGGCCTTCAAGCAGAGAACTGGGAGCAAGCAGCTTGGGTTGGGAAGCACTTCATTTCCCTGAGCTCTGCTTGCCTCTGAGTACCTCTTGCCTGGCTGGGAAATGGGGGCGTAAACCCATCAAAGCTCCTGCTTGACACAGCAGTCCTGTTAGTGACAGGACAGAAGTCCTGTCTCCGGTACCCCACAGGCTTGTGTGTCTCTGCATGGCACTGCTCTGGGCAGTAGACCCAACCCCTTCCATGTGGAGGAGCTGCCAGTGAAGCCCGGGCTCCTGTCCAGAGAGAGCTTCACACAAGGGTCTGATGTTGGAGGATCAGTATGGCTATAAGAGCGTTTCAGTCTCTCACTCTTGGAAATATGTGCTATACAGCAGATCGCTGTGGAGTCTCACATCTTCAAGATGTGCAGACTCATCCCTGTGGAGAAAGATCGCAGACCCTTGTAAAGTTTGACAGGTGACTGAAATACCCAGGGAAAAAAACCAATGGGTTGGACACCGTTCGTCTCTCCTTCTGGCCAGCTCCAGTGCCAGCCAAGCCTCTGTTCAGGCCCATAGCCTTTTCTGTGTTAAAAGAAAGGCTCAAAGGTCGGCAGTAGCATGGAAACCTGATAGCAGTTCTGTGTTTAAAGACTGTGCGTTCCATCCTGTGTCACTTTTTCAGTTTGCTGCTGTGTCTGAAGACAGCATGATTCAGGCTGATGGCAGCGGCAGCACTGGAAGTCGTGTCACCAGGCAGTCAGTTCTGAACGACTTGCTCCAGTTGGTGACAGTGTGCCTACTTGCATTATCATTAATGCTATGTAATGTATGATGAAATAAACACAATAAAAAGGCATTGCAGGAACTTTGTGAGGCAGACTTAAGCAAAAGCCAGAAAATTTGAAGTTAAGGCTTCGCACTTAATGCTTAACTCTCTGCTGTGCCTAAGGAGATTTCAGTCCACAGGAGATAGCACATCACTGCAGTAATAGACCCCTCAAATACTTATGAACAGCCTATGAAGGCTCTGGCTTTTCAGACTTCAATGCAATGTATGTTAGACTAGTAATGATGGTTTAACGTGGTTCATTATCTTTAAGGCATTATGGATATTGTGCTTTCCCCTCCCAGTTACAACCTGGCATGAACACAGAGACAGGATGCAGGTGTCCTCCTTTGCCTTTGAGAATATAACTTACTTCTGACCTTACTGTTCAAGTCAATCTGGTCCTAGGCCTCCCTGCCTGAGCATCTCTTACCAGAAATGGCACTAAAAACCATAACAGGGCTGGCAGGGGACACAGGTGCTGATTTCATTAGTGGCATCAGAAGAAATCTGAAGGGTTGTCCCCATCCAGGGAGGCCTACCAGTCCTGAGCTGCACCCCTCTAGCCTGCTTTGCATATGGTGTTTATTTCCTATAGAAGTACTTGCTAGCAATGAAGCGCCTTTTATTCACACGACAAATTTAATGATGCTTTCAAAAGGCTTTGTGTTGATTAAGCTCTTGTGCATCATAACCAGCCTTTCCTGTCTTTTAGAGTACATGAGCTGACCTGCAAAGAGAGGTAAGGGCTACATTTTCTCAAGTGGCTATAGGTTTTGTAGCAGGAGCAAGGAGCCGCTGTGCTCCCCTGCACGTGGTGGTGGCTGTCACTGTCATAGTAAGTGGGCTTTGGAGACCTGCCCCTTCCAATGTGGGAGAATTTTTCTTAAGCTTGAGAGGTTGCACCAGAACTGACTCCCATATAGAAATGTAAAAGGGCAGCTTTGGACAACCAAGCCCCGTGACTGCATTTATCCTCTCTCTCTCAGCATAGCATCTTGCTAACACTCTTGTGCACATTTTAATCTCCCTGGGGGCAGCTGGCCATTTTGTAAACTCTTCAGGGTCTTTCCAGTGCTGTCATTTCTCAAACCTCAGGAAGTCTGTGAGAGGAAAAATTAAGGTCAAGTTTTTGATCTTTTTCTCTTTATGCAAGGTGCCCTTTTATGCTTTCCCTCACCTAAATTCTCTGACTGTGAGATCCAACGAATACCTGCATGGGGTGGGGGGGGTTTCTCAATCAGAATCACAGCCCATCACCCTCTCCTGGTCTGAGTTCTTACTTCAGAGTGAACCCTGGGAGCAGCAATTCCTGAAATAAGTGATCCAAGGATTGTGCATCTGTGTGTTTCCATGGAAATGCTTGATGAAGAAGTTTTAAACACATGGCAGGATCCCTGTTCACCACTAAGGCTGAGGAACAGCCACATATTGTCAGCGCCTTTGCCACAAAACATTTCGACTAATTATATTTTTGCTTGTTATCAACCCAATTATCTTATGCTGTTTATTTCATTTAATTTTCATTTTGGTTATATAATGGCTGTCATGGTTCCAGGAACAGAGGAGTGAATAGCAGCTATCTCACTTGAGAGCTATTTTTACTCTCTCTTCTTTTCTTCGTGACAAAAATATATCCATATTATTAATCTGCACTGCAAAAAAAAAAAAAATGTACTGCTTCTGCCTGCTTCCACCTCTCCCAGTAAACATGTTTGTTTGAACACAACCGCCAGGTAGCAATATCAGGCCAATTTAGGCCAATTTTGAGTGTTGTGATCAAAGCATTTGTTTCAGTGAGTCTTTTAGGCAAATGCATACAAACATATGAGATATCAGTGACTTGTTTCATTTTCCAGCAAATGACAAGGAGTTCTCCTAAATCAGTCCCTGAACAGTTCACTTGTTTTTCATCATAGCAGTATGTAGCAGCTATGGCTATATTCATAAATTAAATGTGCCCAGGCCTATTCTTTAGCATGGGGGCTAAATGGAGTGGTAGAGCCCACGCTTGTATTATTGAACTCCCATTGTTTTCAAAGCAGGGCAGTCTCCTACAATCTGCTTATTAGGAATAGTCTGTGTCCCATGCTAACACCTGAAATGTAGCCGGGGATTGTGTGTACTCAGTACTGCACTGGTCAAAACCATGCCGAGGGCTTCTCAAGGAATTTTACCATAAAAGGAATTATGTGCCAGTGCTCGGGAACATTTTTTCCAGTAAAGATGCAACCAGTGCTGGTGTCCTGGTTTTGTCTATTTCAGAACAGCATTGGAAAGGCACAATCCAGTGTTTCCAAGCACATATTTTTATTTAGGGTCTGTAGAATAACATAAATCCAGTGTCAACAGCAAACTATGAGCTGTACAGGAGATATTCTCACAGCCTTCATGGCATCCCTAAGGAATCATTTTATCATTAGTAATGTAGTTTTTGTACTTTGGTAGTCCTTCAGAGATCTTGTCATAGTATTGTACAAATACAAAACAAAAGGAGGTATGTAAAGAGCATATTCGTCTAATTTAAATACTCGTAGCCTATTTTGATCGCATACTGTGAGTTATAGGATGACCTGCAAAATAATTAGGAGTTTCAACTGAGAATATTACAAATTATAACTGACCTTTTTGTAACAGAAGCTGATACAGAGAGTTCAGTGAATGTTTCACTGTAATTTAGTACACTAATTTTATCTCTTGTAACATAGTTGTGAACAGTTTGTATGCAATTTATCAAAAATCCACTATTTTCAAAAAATCATTTATAATCTACAGATTGTTCTCACGGGCTTTATTGCACGTATACAGATGTTGAGCAGACATCATTTTGACTGTGATTTCTGTCTGCATGCAGGTCATT